GGTCGGCCCGGGATTGTCGTTTCTCTTTTGATCCGGTCGCGGACCATTGAAACGACGTCGGGGGAGGGGACCGCCATTGCGGGGGTTGATCGAGGAAACGGTTTTCAGGGTCTTCACGAGCTAACAGATTTTTTCCCCGTGAGAAAATCATTTCCGCGTGGAACAAAATACAAGCTACTGCGGGTTTCTATTGCGACGAGTTCCCAATTGTAGAAATGTCTTGAAAGAAGCTCAATTTGTTTAACTGGGAACAGCAACGGTTTATCGGAATAATAATAAGAAGAATAAAACTTCAGTTGATACAAGCATCGCTGCAGTGTGTGCGTGCGTGCGTGCGTGCGTGCGTGTGTGTGTGTGTTAGAAAATCTCGAGTGGCTGAAACAATGCAAGGAAGAGTGTCTGGAACCGAGCGACTGGGCCGTGAGAAAAGCGTGTACGTGACTGCGTGAATTTTGACTATGGACGAAAGATGCGAGTAAGAAGGGTGCAAGAATGAGAAAGGCAGAGCGAATGGGGGTGTGCATTAAAAGTGAGTGGGAATGCGTGCGCGAGAAACATTTTGTGCGAGATAGCGAAGAGAGACATTTTGGCGCGCGTTATTCGAGCGAGACTTTGTGGGCGAAACTTTGCGTAATGGGCGAGCAAACGTTTAGTGATCTGTAAAGATCTTGCGACTTATAAGGGAATATCCTACATATATACATAAAAATGGTGCCTTCGCTGCGTTAGTTCTCTATTGACGGAGTGCGGGAAGCTGCTGCCACACACTGTTAGTCACTTAAGATTTTCTAAACACAGTCATCCTGTTATCCAAGCATACCAGCGTCATCCAGTCGCTAAACGATACAGACGACACGCACAGGTAATCGAAACAATCACACCCCGCAGTACAGAACAACTTGTTCAGATTTTTCTCGCGAACGGAATGTGTTCTGATGCGGTTCCGGGGAACGGGATCGTCGGTTTTGCAACTGGGTTTGGCGGTGCGCGTTCGATTCGGCCTGCTGTAAATTTTCGGTGTGTTCACGTTGCTATTCTGCTTCGGAACACCGCTCGAATAGCGGCGGAAGTTACGTTGTCATTATTCCGCAGTTAAATTCCACGGTATAAAACGGGGTAAATACAGCGGATGATCCTTTGGTAATTCCGGGATACGGAATTAATCAACGCAATTTCGCGGTCACCGATATCGAATCTGTTGCGGTGATTTTAACGATCGAACGCGACGGAAATTGAAAGAATTCAAACGCGCCGCCGGGTGAATCGGGGCATGCGAAATTACGCAGCCGGGCAGTCTAGGAATGGGCTTTCAGGACGGGCCACGGAAATTTTTCAAAATTCCATTCGCCCCGAACACACACCGAAATGTTTTAAGTTCCATCAACTCTGATATATTTTGGAAATTTCCGTAGACCGATCAACTCTTATAGCAGATTGGATACCGTGAACTTTGAGCAAATTTTTCCGAGCAGCCCGGATGGATGAGTTTCGCGGAGAGTGAAAATACACGGAACATAGCAAATTTTCGTCTGGTTTCGGAGTTTGGGGAATATTCCTCGATAACTTGGCATCCGGATGATATTCCAATTAATTCGAAAAGTACTCTTGGCCCGCCGAGTTTCCGGCAGTTTCTGAAGATCATTTAATAGCTCCGTCGCTAACGTAAGATACTGCGCGCAGAGATCGTGTATTGTGTGTCACAAATTCTAATTCTTAGAAGTTAGGTGGCCTGAATTATAATGCAACGATGTTAACTAGCAGGCAACTCAATTTTACCTCAAGTTTCCTGTCGAAATGCACTTCGCTAAACTACGTTCCCATAATTCTCTGCACCTCGAGATGCGGTACACATTTTTCAATGCTCTGGTGCTTTAGCTTTCCCCGTGTATCGTTAATACCCATTATAAGCAAATTCTTTGTCGGTAGCTAACAAAATTCGAATAACATGTACTTTTTCTATCAACGGTAAGATTCCGTTGAACGTACAATTCGAATTTTCCTATTGATTAACCTGTTAACTGTGGAATTTAGTTTCAAGAGTCTCTCATTGCGCGCGTAATAAAGTCAAACAATGGAGCGCGTACTCGTGTACTATAAGTACTATCATTTCGAGCTTTAAGCTAACCTGTATACCGGTTAAACGCAGTTAACTGGTTAATTAAATGGCATTTGTAGAACGTACTTAATAATAATTTCGTATTTAACCGTTCTTCACGCGCGAGATCTTTATTGCGCGTGTATCTGTGGCTGCCGGCTAAAGCGGCGTATCTCACGTTTTCAAAAGTTTCGAGTTCGGGTCTTCTTTGAAGCCTAGAATCATAAAAGGAATTCCTACCTCGGACAATAAGAATACGAATGCAGCGGAAGCTTCCGCGAGGAGCGAATACTTGAAACTTTAAACCACAATATCTAGAAAGTGAAAACTTATGACTTCTGTCGTTTCACTTCCGCGAATAGGCCACTACCGAAAAATGTTTCATTGCTTTTGATATTTAAAATTTAGAAGAGAATAGGAAATGAACGAATAAACGATTACACCGTTTCTCCCCGATTGCATGTATCTGGACTGGAATTATTTATTTCCCCGGATGTACGGAAGCGCTTTCGAACTTATGAAATTTATACGGGCTAAATTAACATTTCAAATCTCGTTTATACGAAATTAGATGAATTTATACGGAAGATCTTCACGGTAACGTCTTCGTCGCGAGGAGAGACTAAAAATATTTGATTGCTATTGTTTTACAGGTGGCGTGGCTTCGCGTAGACACACAGACGATCCTCACGATCGCTACTCACGTGATCACGAAGAATCATCGAATCTCCGTGACGCATGCGCATCGCACCTGGTCCCTTCACATCAAAGACACCAAAGTTAGAGACAGGGGATGGTACATGTGCCAAGTCAACACTGACCCGATGTCCAGCAACACTGGATTCCTTGAAGTAGTTGGTAATATGTCGTCAAAATACAATTATCGAGCGAGGACTGTTGTAACGTTCTACACATTAACTCTTGCGTCTATAACCAACGAACAAATAAGCCTTGTACATGCTAACGAATAAAGTCTATTCGTTAACAACACTGTTGGCAACTTGGACCATTATAGGCTTACCGGGAATCTCATTTCTTCATTACTTCACCACGATTTTTCATTTTTTTTGCAAAGTAATATAACTTTGGCAAAAGTGTCATTTGTATATTAACAATAGATCTACGGGACGAGTCAATTTGGATATGTATCCCAATCGTCTACTTTTAAACCTCTAATTTCTAAAATCGAAATAAACGAATATCATTTCTTCTAAGAACGATAGAACGAACTGTGCAGTAAACGCCTGTAAATCTAGTATTAAATTAGGGACTGTAATAAGAATTTTAGAATTTGTTAAAATCTTGACAGAACTCACGACAATAAGAAATCAAGTTTGACCGTTCATGGATCTTTAGGTTAATATTGCTGGCCATGTTGATGATAGATCATATTGCCAGTGGATGATTAATTTACGTTTTCCATGAGTATCTTCCTTTTGTCTTGCCCATTTAATCATAGTGCCTTGGTTATAGACGCAAAGTGTTGAAACTATACGGAGATGCAGTTCTCGAGTTGAAAATATTTTCAGCGCAAGAAGTCTGAGCGCAGTGAGCTGCCAGAGAAATTGAAAGTCAAATCGTTCTCCGCTGTTAAAATTATTTCGCGGCGACATTGAAAAACCGTTATCCCTGTAAAACATTGCGGCGCCGACTACAGTGTGCTGAAGATATTAAATGTTAAAGTTTTGGCCTGAATCGGTTGCGGTCGCTTAATGGGAAAAGGAGGAGGAACTCAGTTTTCTCGATCCAAACTTCTTTTTAAACTCCTTACACTGTATTTGTAACGCTCGGCGAGCTCGGCGAGACCACTAAAGAGTCCATTTGAGTATAGTTGGCCAGAGAACCGAATTTGTGGCTTTCAATTGTTGCTCCATAGTATTACATATTAATATAGAGACTTCAGTTTCCGGTGAGTATCAAATTTAGACAGTTGAAACGTTAACAGCTTCAATATTTAAGTGGCTCGGCATAATAATCTAACTGTTATTTCTGAGTTCTCGGGAGAAGGAAGCTTCTCCGAGATATTCTTGGATTAACCGAATAATAGTATTATAATTACCAACACTTGCGATTTATAATAACTGGTGTTGTTAATAACTTTGTAAGATTCATATTGAATTAATTCAAAAAGATTTCGCGAAGTCTATTTTTCCTCGAAAACTCGATAATAGAAGTTGGATCGTTATTATTCCGAGTTATCCATTTAAGAATTGAAATGGTAATATTAGATTTCTCAAGAAATGTGGACGTTAATGCGCACTCGGTAATAACGTTCGGTGAGAACGTGATATTTCGATGCGCCGCGAATTTTTTCGCGAAACTTTTTAACGCAACAT